GTACAGGAGGAGATTGTCCCTCCTTCTCCAGCAAAGCATCTGGTGGACTTGAATCACACACTTCTGGGACTGCAGGACAGCTTCTTGCCACTAGGCCACCAGAGCTTGCCTTAAAGTGGATTTTTAAATACTGTATCCAGCAAATTTGTCCATCAAATTTGAAGGGGAGATCAAGATATTCCCAGAAAAAGAGAACCTAAGGGAGTGTGTAAAAACAAGACCAGCATTGCAGGAAACGATAAAAGATGTCCTTCTTATAGAAGTGCCATCTTACAGAAGCTGGGATGGGCCAAAGTAACTAGCAACAACACTAAAAAGAACTCAACACAATGATAGCAATAAAACTTTGCCTCTTAATAATCATACTGAATGTGAATGGTCTAAAAATGTACCACTGAAGAAAAAAAAAAGTAGAAGACTGGATAAAAAAGCAAAATCCATCAATATGTTGTCTACAAGAGACATACCTGAAAAATGAAAATAAAGACTAAAAAGGGTGGGGGAAAATGTACCAAGCAAATGGCAACCAAAAAAAAAGCAGGAGTAGCGATATTAATCTCTGATAAAATAAATGTCAATGTAAAAACATCACAAAGGACAAGGAAGGTCACTACATAATGTTGAAAGGATCAATAGAACAAGAGGACATAATAATAAATAAATGAAAGACCTGCAAAATACATAAAACAAACATTAACAAAACTGTAAAAGGAAATAGACAACACTACTATAGTACTTAGAGACTTCAATACAGCACTCTCAAGAAAAAACTACCAGAAAAAAACTCAACAAAGATACGGAAGAATTAAATCACACAATAAACCAATTTGATCTCATAGATATTTACAGGCTAATGCACCCCCCAAATGCACAGTATAGCTTCTTCTCCAATGTGCACGGAACATTCTAAAGAATAGATCACATTCCAGGTCACAAGGCAAGCATTAACAAATTTAAAAACATAGAAATAATACAAAGCATCTTTTCAGACCTTAATGGTACAAAATTAGAATTAAGATAAAGGAGAAAAAACCATACATTTGGAAGCTGAATAACACCTTGCTTGAATATGATTAGGTACTAGAAGAAATAAAAAATAAAATTTAAAAATTTCTTGAAACAAATGACAATGAATCACCACTTACCAAAACCTCTAGTAAACAGCCAAAGCAGTAATCAGAGGTCAATTTATAGCAATAAGAAAATACATCAAAAGGCAGGAAAAACTGACCACTGACTCTCTAACCCAACATCTCCAACAAATTGAAAAAAATAAAACAAAACCAAAAACAAAACAAACCAAAAAAACCAGCAAGAAAACCCAACACCCTCTAAAAAACTGAAATTATAAAAATTAGAGCAAAAATAAATGAACTAGAAAACCGAAAAACAACTGAAACTATCAAGGTAAGTAAGAGTTGGTTCTTTGAAAAAGGTCAATAAAATCGACAAACCACTAGCAAAACTAACAAAAGAAAAAAAGAAGACACCAATAATCCAAATAAGAGATGAATCAGGCAACATCACAACAGAAACAACTAAAATAGAAAGGCTAACATTAGAGTATTATGGAAAAACTATACTCAAACAAATATGAAAACCTAGAGGAAATGGACAAATACTTAGAAATGCACAACTTACCTAAACTGACACAAAACGAAATTGAACATCTGAACAGACCCATTACAAAAGAAGAAATTGAAAAGGTAATAAAACAACTTCCAACTAACTGTCACCAATTCTACATGAACTATTTCAGAAAATAGAAAAAGATGGAATCCTCAAAGACTCATTCTATGAAGCAAACATATCCTTGATACCTAAGCCAGGAAAGGACACCACCAAAATAGAAAACTATAGGCCAATATCTCTTATGAACACAGATGCAAAAATCCTGAATAAAATATTGGCCAATAGAATCCAATGATACATCAAAGAAATAATTCACCATGACGAAATGGGATTCATAACAGGTATGCAAGGATGGTTGAACATAAGAAAAAGAAACAAAAACAATGTAATTCATCATATTAACAAAGCAAAGAACAAGAAAAACATGATCCTATCAATTAATTCAGAAAAGGCCTTTGACAAAATCCAACACCCTTTCCTGCTTAAAACACTCAGCAAAATAGGATTAGAGGGGAATTTCCTCAACATAGTAAAAAGTATTTATGAAAACCCGAGAGCCAACATTGTTCTCAATGGAGAGGTTAAAGGCATTCCCTTTAATAACAGAAACTAGGCAAGGATGCCCACTACCACCTCTCTTATTCAATACTGTATTGGAAGTCTTAGTAATAGCAATAGGCCAAGAAAAGGAAATACGAGGTATCCAAATTGGCAAAGAGGAGGTAAAATTATCTCTATGCAGATGACATGATAGTGTACTTAGAAAACCCTGAACACTCAGCAAGAAAACTACTGAGCATAGTTGACCAATTCAGCAAAGTAGCAGGATACAAGATCAACATACAAAAATTAGCTGGATTTCTCTACAGTGATGAAGAGAATACAGAGCTGGAGCTAGGAAAAACAATACCCTTCACAATAGCTAATCACAAAATTAAATATTTGGGAGTAAATCTAACCAGAAGCACAAAGGATCTATTCAAAGAAAATTACAAAGCATTACTACAAGAAACAAAAAGAGACCTGCAAAAGCGAAAGAATATCCGTTGCTCATGGATAGGAACGCAATATTATGAAAATGGCAATACTACCAAAAGGCAATTTACATATTCAATGCAATCCCAATACAAATACCAATCTCATTCTTCAATGAGATGAAAAAGGTAATCTCCAGTTTCATTTGGAACAGAAAGAAGCCCCGAATAAGCAAAGCACTCCTTAAAAATAAAAAAAAAAAAGTAGGAGGCATCTCACCCCGATTTTAAATCCTACTACACTGCCGTGGTGCTCTAGACAGCATGGTACTGGTACAAGGACAGACACACAGGTCAGTGGAATAGAATAGAGAATCTGGAAATCAGCCCATCTACCATCAACTGATTTTTGACAAGGAGATGAAATCAGTTAAGTGGGTAAACGAAATCCTTTCTAACAAATGGTATTGGTAAAATTGGAAAACTATCTTCAGAAGACTCAAGCAAGATCCACACCTCACTCCATACACAAAAAACAACTGTAGGTGGATCATGGAGATCTTGGATTAAAACCAAGGACTACGAAGTTCATTAATGAAAAGCGTGGAAGAACTCTAGAAGTCCTAATCCACAACATAAACAGTCTTCCAAGCATCCTGAAAAATCTACAAGCAGAGGTGGACAAAATAGATGAATGGGACCTTCTAAGAATCAAATCCCTATGCATATCCAAAAACTTCTCCAACAGGGTGAAAACAGAAGCCACAGACTGGGAAAAAGTATTTTGTAATGACATAATTAGATAAGGGACTTAAATACTTGAGCACCACAGTAAGATAAATGTAAACAATCCAATTAAAAAAATAGGCACAGGATATGAACAGACACTTCACCAAAGAATACATTCAGATGGTCAACAAATACATGAAGAAATGTTCAAAATCCCTAGCTCAAAGAGAGATACAAATCAAAACAACTATGAAATAATATCTCACCCCAGTAAGAATAGCAAAATTTAATAGAACAGCAAGCAACAAATGCTGGCTAGGTTGTGGAGAAAATGGAACCCTTATACACTGCTGGTGGAAGTATAAAATGGTGCGACCATTATGGAAGGCAGTATGGTGCTTTCTCAAAAAGCTGCAAATAGAAATACCATTTGACCCAGCAATTCCACTACTGGGAATACGCCCCAAAGAAACCATAACAGCCACCAAGCAGATATATGCACACCCATGTTTATTGCGGCTTTTTTCACAATAGCAAAGAGTTGGAAACAACCTAACTGCCCATCAACAAACAAATGGATAGAGAAGCTATGGTATATTCACAAAATGGAATACTATGCTGCACTGAAAAATAAGGAACTAATGCATTATTATTCAAAATGGGTGACCTTGGAGGACATTCTGCTGAGTGAAATATCTCAGTCACAAAAGTATGTATACTACATAGTGCCACTGTTGTAAAACGGGATTGACACTGGGGTTGGGGGAAGAATGAGAAAGATGGGATAAATAATGTATATTGCATTGAAACAGATGAGGGAGAAAACTTTACAAGGGATATATGATTAGGTATTATTGTCATGACAGGAGTCTAGATTGAAGGCTGCATAGTGGACTGGTCTTGGAGGGAGGGACTGTATGAAAATGAAAGAATTTTTCTTTTACTTTTCAAAGAGAAGAATGAACTGGGGGGAAGGGGTTGGCAGGGAGAAAAGTGCAACAATGAACTAAATGGAAATCCAAAG